AACTATATGCTAACACTTTGCTAGGCACTGGGGATACAGCAGTGAACGCAATGCTTAATGGGAAGTGAATATATAGTAGAGTGGAAAACTAATGAGCAATTAACAAATACAATAGAATCAAGAACTCAATGTTTATCTTTTTCTCTGTCTTGAATAAGGTGGTAATTTTTGACACAATGTTGTTAACTACCTCTTTCTAATCTCCTTACTTTTCTTATGAAATGCTAAGGACAGATACATAACACTTATTGATGTACCAATTGTCTTTCACAATGCCTGCAAATATGTTTGATGAATAAAGTTTATTGAATTCCCAGAGTAATTGGCATTAGGAGTTTTTTGGAAATTGCTGCTGAAGATTGAGTAGAGAACAACAAAAAAGTCACTGATAGAGAATAGCTCTCCTAGATACTCCCACTGAATCCCTGCTCAACAAAATGCCATCCATAAGTGAGGGAATGATTATTCTAGTTATGTCAGGAAAGTTGAGATTTGATGGTGCGCATGCCATTAACGCGTAAAGCCTCAGGGCTGCTGAGTAGCTCTCAGAGGCAACTGTAAAGCAAAGAGAACATAATGACAGGAGCTGAGTCACGCTAGCTCTCCACTGCAATCAGTCCTTAATTGACTGTTTCTCCTCTAAGACAGATAACCCTAGAGATTGCTCCATTTTGTGAGATATAATGAAATTGGCTTGAAACTTTTTAATGGCTGCATGCAGCATGGGGAGAACATGTTAATCAGTTCTGCTCTTCCAAGAGCTGGATCCCTGTGGACACGGAGAAAACAAGATCGTGGTTATCAATAGTTCAACTCTAATAGCCATTATAATGAGATCTCTAGGGTCTTGTTTTTCCTTCCAACTTGTATTAAAGAGCAGCAGAAGTTGAAAAATCACTCTTTCTCTTACTCTAGTTTTAAGTGTTACTGATGACCTCATTATGCAGAATCCCTTAAGATTTTCCACAGTCATCCAGAGCGAAACACATGTATAAAGTTAGCCATATTTCAGTATTCAAGAAAGCAGAAATGGCCTAAGAAAAACTACTTTTATCAACAGATCCAAACATTTCTCATTTTTCAGCTTTTACGATCTATAATTCCATCCTTCCTTTCTCATCTCCTTTCGAACATAATTGTCAGGATAAGTAAGTCACTAGTTCAGTGAAATAACAGGCAGGTTATATTTTCCTTTCACTTAGAAGACAGGAAAAAACAAATGACTCAAAACCCTGAATTTTCTTCTTAGTTGTTTGGATTCATTAATTTGATGTTCATATAAACACAAAACAATTGCAAAATATTTAAAGGTGGAAAACAATGTACTATTACATCTAATCTTCTTCCAAGCTTACTCACACCATTACTTTGAAAATGGCATGAAGAAAATCAAGCTATTTAGTTAAAAAAAAACTATTTTCTTATACCCTCTGATTTCAAATATTATGAAACTGAAAATTATTTGCAATATAGTAGGAGAAAAATATCTCATTGTTTTGATTTGTATTTATTTAATTACAAGTGAGACTAAAAATTTTTATAAGTTTGGGGACCATCTGTGTTGCTATTTTATTAAATTTTATCTCATTGTTCTTTGCCCATTTGTCTTACCCAGACAAGTGTCATCCTTACTTATTTTTAAAAATTTATTTGTTGGAAAAGGCCCTTTGATCACTAAAAATATTTGCTCTTTGTTCCATGTATGTGTTGTAAATATTTTTCTCTGTTTTACAAACTATTAGTAGGCTTTTTCTAAGAACTTATTGAACCAGTGCAATTTGTTCATTGGCCATAAAACTTGACTCCTGTATTGTTTTTTACTTTAGTCTTATTTCTATAACTATAAAATGATACAATTTTAAACCCAGATAACATCCAAGTTTTGCTTCTGAGATGAGTTTTTTAAGGGTCAGTCATTAGTTTCAAATAACATTAGTTTGGGGAAAAATGTAAGCTTTAATGTGTCACATCAGTGAGTACGATTAATGCTTATTCTTGGGTTCTGTGCCCGTCTTAGAGGAATCTCTCTAGACCTTAATTTCACTGGTTGCAGAGATCATGTTATCATTTTGGAGGTTTTTGGGGGGCAAATTTACCTTCTCCAAAAGGTAATCAGTGTGGTTTCCACTTTTTGTTTGAATATAATTTAAAGGCCACGAATGAATCCAATGCAGTCTATCTATTTTATATTTACTACATTCCAGTAACCTTACCAATATAAGTGAAAATAAAAATTACAAATCAGGTGACAAAGAGAAATGTAATATACTTTTGCATTATCATTTTGAAAAATTATATTAAAATAGAAGGAAATTAGACTTTAAGATTCTTCCCTCAGAAGACAGACTAAATCTCATTTCAATTCAAGGATAAAAGGGTGTTCAAAAGCTGTTCATATCTGCTCTACGCTGCCAAACTTTGGTGTTGCCCCATCAGACACCAAGAATATTTTCTCATAGAAATAAAAGTTTGGAGTTTTAGGATATGGATAACTGTGGCCCCAGGCAGAAACCAAGAAAAGAAATTTGATTCCCAATCATCTGATGTTATTCCAAGATTTCCCCTAAGAGTATACTCCTCTATTCCCTTCTGCAGCCCAGCCAATTACCCAAAGGAGTATGCAGTCCCTATGATCTCAACAAGAAAACATGTTATGTCAACTTGGAGGCACCATTTTTGATGCTAAGAAGTTAGTCCTTCGTTTTTCAGTCCATCTGGGTCTATAAGAGCTTCCTAATCTGCACTGGTTATCTTCTGAAGGCTTTAGCTGAGAGCTCCTGAAGCCTCCTGAAGGCTGGGTATTCGGCCAAAATGGCAGGTAGACAGGGGAGGAATGCTAATGCTATTTTCTATTTCAATTGCCTCTTTTTTCCATAATTTAACTAACCTATGGCAATTATTCCATTTTGTGTTTTCTCTGAGGTAGTGACACACCATTACTCCATCACTCTAGTCAAATTATAAGAAAAAGGGATTCACATGGCATTTACAACTCTTTTATCTTCAGGAACAAACAAGACTCTAACACATGAAAGACGGTTTGGGGCTTGATTGTCATCTCCTTTCTTAACTTAAGATCTCTGTAACCACTTTTATATAGTATCTGGTGCATTAGACTCATATCATCCTATTGTTACTTTACCTATAATAACTGCACAATCTTCTGTAAAATCCCAAGTAACAAATGCCAACCAAAGGGAAAAACATCAGTGTGGGTTCTCCTTATTAATGTTTTCACTTGGGAATGTTGAAACCAGGTAAGCCTAAATGATTTGAGAGAATTAAGAATATTTTCTTTTCTTTTGGTATACTGTATTTGGCTTTGGAAAATAAATTTACTATAAGAACTGAGAAGTTGAGACACTTTCACCAAAAAACAAGTTTTTTATTTGAAAATCAAAATATTTGTGACAATTTATGTCCTACTCTGCCTTTATTTTTTCCCAGCTTACTAATTGAATATATATTATTAATTGAAGCAGTCTTTGATTCTCTAAATCACACAGCAGTCTACATATTTTATAAGATCCATTTAATAATTTTAGTCCTTTTATTTATGCTTAAGTTGTCAAAGAATCAACATGACTAAGGGCTTAAGGTACGTTTCCTTTGCACCTGCTGCTCTGCTGTTTTCATGTCTGTCTCCCTTTCACAGAGATGCCCATGTGAAGTCCCTCAGAAATCAACTGCCTAAAAAAATTTAAAAGAATTCAAAATTTTTGTTCTCTTAGGTAAGCATGTGTTTGATGTCACAGAATAATTAAATTCCTCATTTTACTCTTCTCTGCGTACGGATTTTATAGAAGCTCTTCAGATAGTATTTTTAAAGAAGGCTGACATACTTCCCTAACATAGGGCATAGTTTGCATGGCAATGACCCAAGTTGATGTTATTATAAATTATGGTAGAAAAAACTATGGTAGATATAGGTTTTTGTTTTTCAGGTAGCTAATCAATTCTGGAATTTTAGTAACTATTAATTACACAAAATAAAATTATTTTTCTTCATAATCATAAAGAAGGAAATATTGGTATTTTTAACAAGAAACCAGAAGAAAAAGGTGACTTTTTATACTCAAAAAGTAAATATAAATTTTACTTAAATTTTCTTATCAATTATAATTATGATATTTAATTTCATTATTATCCTACTATTCCTTACTTCAAATATAAGTCTGATTTTATGAACCCAGCTCTTTTTATTCTTTTTAGCCATAGTAGGGTCAATTTTTTAAATTGCTTTATAAAGTTAATCTTTATTTGCTACATTCTCCTTCTTTTTCTCTCCACTCATCCATACTGCCATGCACCTCTCCTCTGCAAGCTAATCATGTTGTTTTGATGTTTCTAAAAGGCTACCGAAAACAAATTATATCCAAAGTTGCCATTTTATTACTGAACAGAGTATCCTCCCTGACTCTGGCAATCTAGGCTGCACAATTATATTTCTTTCAAAGAAATGAATGATAGAGATCTGAGTTGACAGAATTTCATGAGAATAAGACCTAGGAGTATCTAGTAGATACAATTATAACTTAATTCAAAAAGTGTCATTGACATTATGAAGTAAATGCATACTTAAAACCACATTAATAAGATCATAATAGTCCAGGTCATGGTAGGCAATAGTTTCCCTGAACCTTGTGATTTTCAAATCATATCTTGGATACTGAACTCGGCCCTGGTTGTCAGATTTCCAGAAGGTCATTGTCAACATGAGGGTATTTGGAAGACATCTACTAGGGTGATAATATGCCTGATTACCTTGTTATACGAAGAATCATCAAAGAAAATTGAATGTCTTGTCCTAAAGAAAATTTAGTTTAAATGTGGTAGCTGCCTTTAATGGCTGTCATATGAAGAGAGATTAGATATGATGTTATATTCAACAAAGTTAAAATATTTGTCTTGTGAATAAGGAGAAACACTTCTTCTTTAATAAAAAGATGATGATTATCAGTCAGAATCTTCTAACTCTGAAATAATCTGCCTTACATGTTGGAACAAATGATGTACAGCTTATATGGCCGGGCAGACGCTATTCCGATATTGGTTGGGTTGCTAGACCTGATGTCTTATATGTGTCTTTAAAATCCTGATATTCAATGGCTTTCAGAAAACATAGATTACATTTTCTTTATTTTATTCTTACCAGCTGTTCAGATGATGTGAAAGGAAAGCAATGGAAAAATCCAACGACAGCTCAGAGTATGGTTTTATCTTAGTGGGATTCTCTGATCGTCCCAAACTGGAGATGGTACTTTTCATAGTAAATTTTACTCTATATTCAGTGGCTGTGCTGGGAAATTCAACCATAATCCTTGTATGTATATTAGACCCTCAACTTCATACCCCAATGTACTTCTTTCTGGCAAACCTTTCCTTTCTAGATCTCTGCTTCAGTACTAGTTGTATCCCACAGATGCTGGTTAACCTCTGGGGCCCTGATAAGACTATCAGCTATGCAGGCTGTGTCGTCCAGCTTTTCTCTTTCCTTTCTGTTGGAGGAATCGAGTGCATCCTTCTGGCTGTCATGGCATATGACCGCTACGCTGCAGTCTGCAAGCCCTTGCACTACATGGTCATTATGCATCCCCAGCTGTGTTTACGACTGGTGGCTGTGGCCTGGGGAAGTGGACTAGTCAATGCCATTGTCATGTCCCCACTAACAATGACTCTCTCCAGATGTGGCCGGCGACGAGTGAACCATTTCCTCTGTGAAATGCCAGCACTGATCAAGATGGCTTGTGTGGATGCTCGTGCAGTGGAAATGCTGGCCTTTACCTTTGCCATTCTCATTGTCCTACTGCCCCTCACTCTTACTCTTGTCTCCTATGGCTACATCGCAGCAGCAGTGCTGAGGATCAAGTCAGCTGCTGGGAGACGGAAGACCTTCAATACCTGTAGCTCCCACCTTACTGTGGTCTCCTTGTTCTATGGGAGCATCATCTATATATATATGCAGCCAGGAAACAGCTCTTCCCAAGATCAAGGCAAGTTTCTCACCCTCTTCTACAACCTGGTAACTCCCATGTTGAATCCACTCATCTATACCTTAAGGAATAAGGTGAAAGGAGCACTGAAGAAGGTTTTGGGGAGGCAGCAACGAGCAGCAGAGGTGTGCTAAGTTGTAAAGTCCTAAGCAAAATATTTTTTTCAAACACTACCATTTATTTTGTGCTTATAATAACTTAAGCCAATGTATCAGACGCTCTTGGATCTTTTAAGATGTGGATAAATACACTGAAGTGTATCCGGAGTCAAAGTGAATCAGCTATACCTACACATATTGTTGTATCTTTGCAACATAATGCTTAGTGAAAAGAATTAAGTCCCAGAAGAAAGGTGAAATGACTCTCATATAGATATAAAATAAATATGTGTTAAAGATTTTATTCAACACAGTTAATGAGGGAACCAGGCAAAGTAATAACCAGTTCAAAAAAAAAAAAGACTCAAAAAGCAGAGATTTACAAGAAGTGAAGGAATGTTTGAAATAAATGTACAAGTGGAGGCAAAAATTGCTTCTTCCACTGTGGGAAAGGGAAGTCAATTAGTTTCTACCTGACAGAACTCAATTTGCATGTCATACACAAGAACTATTTTGCTTGGCTATCAGTTATCTATAATTTACTATGTTGTAAAATGCCTGCCACAGAATCAGAATCAGATAACCTGGAGAGGTATCATCTAGACTCTAGACAACGTATAATTTTCCACTGAAGTATAAATTTGTCCCTTAAAGCTCAACTATATATCTTACTCATGTTATAAAACTGAGTAGTCTCAAGCTTCTTACATACTTGTAGGTATTTTCATCCTGATTTTTTAAATAGCGAAACTTTGGTTTATAGATTCTGCATAAATGAACCTGAGTCACACAGTAGATAACTGGAATTCAAAAGCGGTGTGTACACATCTGAGCCTCTGTTGATAGCCACCTTTGTTATAGAGTGTTTAGTGCATGTCAGATGACCTTGTTTTCTTGTACAATCCTTTAATCATTCTGGGTATGCTATAGATCCTATAAAACTCTCACCATTTAGAAGCTCACTAATTTTTCTTTAACTGTTAATACCACATCATCCCTTCCCACACTGTCCCATGAAAATCCCCTGTCTGAATCTTTCCCATGCTTCAGTGGTCAGCTCTAACACAATATTTTTGTAAAATTATCTGGGACTCTGATTTTAAAATGCTCTGTCACTCCTTTTAAACTATCACATTTTTATACAATGAAATAACAGTTCTTCTAGTTAATATACTATATTTATATGTTTTATATATTCTTATTAGACTGTAAGTTTCTTGATGGTAGAACTATTTTTTTAATCCTTCTTAGCACCATTTCAGGTATTAAGTTGTTGTTAAGATGCCTTATAGATAGTAAGTGATCAATAATAACTCAAGATGATCATTAATTTTAATTGATTAATTATATCCAGAAATTATTCCTTCATTTTATTTGATGCACTGTCTAAATCTTTATTCTTCAACATTATGATTGAATCTATCACAATATTCTGTTTGAATTTAAACTGCTATCAGATGTTTCATGCTTTTTTTAAATCAATTAAACATAAACTCCATAAAGAGAGAGAAAAAAAAGTCATAAAGGAATCTCCATGGGTATGAAAAATCAGCCCCAACTTTTGGGGAACAAATTTTTTTTCCCTAAATATCGATCTTAAACTCAAGGAGAATTGCTATGAATTCTGCCATGGTCTAGAGCCTGTTTTGACAGTGACAACAAATCAGAATTTTAAACCTCTTCAGTTGACATAAGAAAGGTATTCCTCCCCTCCTCATTAAAATTATTTTCTTGGATACAATGCCCTCAAAGTCCCCATTTCATTATTCCTTATTTGTTACCCAATTCTCATTGTTAATCAATCATTAAAACAACTGAAAATATTTTTTAAAGCCTCTATAAATATGAGTGGAATAATATATGTTTGCAAATCATATAAATGCTGGAAAGTTAGAAAATGGCCTTTGTGGAAGTCAGTGGGAATGATTATGTACTACTGAATTTGACACTGAAAATGGAAATTACTCTTAATGAGTATATGGATGTTTAAGTAGAAAAATATGCTTTAAATGAACATCATTGTTGTCTCTGGTACAGTTGCATGTACCTTTCTCAAGGCACTGAGATTTAAGTTAGGTAACACCTAGAATTCTACTCTTGGGATTACATAGCCCCCCCCGCCATATCATGTGTTATATAGATCTGATGATTTCCAAAATAGCCTTTACTTCTATGCTTCTTTTTCTTTTGTATTTGTTTAAGAAAATGTCAATAGTAACTTAATATCTTAGAAAGGCACATTTATTTTGCATATTCTGTATTTTACAGAATATTTGTCTTGAAATAATTTATTGGGTATAGTCTATGACAGAATCAAAAAAAGTGTTTATTTCACTGTGAGAGGACTAACATCCAGTTAAAATAATTTAGAAAGGTATAACAGAACAAATTTAAACATAGAATGACTATCATACATCTATTGTAAAATAAGTTACATGGATTGTTGATCTTATATGATCTCCCTTTTATTCCTGGTGTACTCCCTATAGACATGTTCAGGATTTTTCACAGCAATTTATCTACCCTGTCTCTACTGTGACAGAAAGAAATTCTCTTGGACATTAGAAGTTTTTACTACCTTTAGACATGCTAAAAAAAATGATACACAATTTCAAACTTGTTTCCACTGAAGGACTTTGTTGTATTAGGGGATCACTTTTTAAATGATCACTCAAAGGAATGAATCCATAATATGAAAATATCAGTCATCATTGAGGCTTATTAAAAATAATATTTATCAATTTGAGGAGGGCTCACAAAACTCCACAAAGACATAGCTATTCACATCCATTTATGTGAAATTAAATTAAATATCACAATTATAATTGATAAGAAAATTTAAATTAAAAGTATATGTACTTCTTAAATATAAAAAGTAACTTCTTTCTTCTGGTTTCTTGTTTGAAATACCAACATTTCCTTCCTTATGATTATGAAGAAAAGTCAAAAAAATTTTTTTTGTTTTGTGTAACTAACAGTTCCTAAAATTCCAGAATTGACTGGCTAAATGAAAAACAAAAGTCTATATCTACCACTATTGTTTCTACCATAATTTGTAATGCCGTCAACTAGTGTCATTGCCATGCAAACTATGCCTTGTATTAGGGAAGTATGGCAGCCTTCTTTAAAAATATTATGTAAGAGCTCCTGAAAAGACCGTACTCTTTAAAAGAAGAGTAAAATGAGGAATTTAATTATTCTATGACATCAAACACATGCTTACCTAAGAAAACAAAAATGTTGAACTCTTTTTAAATTTTTTAGTCAGGTGATTTCTTAGGGACTTCACATGGGCATCTCTATGTGAATGTTCTGGATGGTCACCATCCACCAGAGAATGGGCCCACTGAGCTGTGCCATTTCTTTTGACTAATATTGTAGGAAAGGAAAGTGTCTAATTTGTAGGTTTGAAGGTGCTGAAAGACAGAGGCCCGTCTTAGTCCCCAAGACTGCTTCCTGCTGTAACTTGCAGTGGTGAAAACAAACTATAGTTATCTTTTTGCATCAATTTTCTGACAAAGGTGGCCTGAGAAGTCAGTATCAGTTAAGTCAGAGTGGCTGATAGTGTTGTTCAGAACATCTATGTCTTTACTGATTTCTTGCATATAGTTCTATCAATTGCTGAGAAAGTAACTCATATGTATGTTAAAATATTCACCCATGGCTGTGGAATTGTCTATGTCTCCCTTTAATTTTGCCAAATTTTGCTAAAAAGAAAAAATGACACGGTGATGTTTATTCTTGTACGTTTGAATAAAAATGTCACTTGACATATTTTGGCAAAATAACCTGTAAATTTATTGCATTCAAATGCCGATGAATCTTGATAATGACCATAAATTATATATGTTTAAAAATGTAGGATCCTAAATCTTATATAAAAAATTACCCCTAACCCTAATTCTTTGAAGATTGATCAAATTAATTGCATAATTACTCAAAGGAGTAATTATCTATCTATTCCTGGTCACAGTGGGGTAGAACGCCTTTAAGAATGTGAATAAACAATATAAAGATTTCATGTTTATAACATTTTTCTGACTTAGAGATCACATTAAGCCCAAAACTGACTTTCAAATCACTGTGAATGATCAGTCCAGATGGTGTAAACTTTATATTTGATTCAAACATCTTATGATTAAACTGTCTAATCCTTAAACACCTCAGTCCAGTTTCTCATTTGTATGCTGTGATATCTTTTTTATAGGGTGGGTGAAGGTTTTCACGACATTATAAGACACCCCAGAAATTATGAAAACTTTTTTACTTATGGATAGACTCCTGTCATTAATTTTCTTATGGTGGATATAATAACTGTTAGCATCCAGATTTAGTCTTAGGCTTTAGAAAATATCCCTGTCTTTCCCATCTGGTCTTTAACATTTATTTTCCTTCAACAAAGAGTAATAAAAAGAGCATAGATAGTTTAGTTACTTAAAGTTGGAGTTGAATCACAGCTCTGCCATATTTTAAATATTTTACTTAAGCTACTTAACTTCTTTGATTCCTAGGTCATTTAGCTGTAAAATATGAATTATATAAATCAAATGGGGTTGTTTTGATAGTTATTAATACTATGTTTGCATTAAAGTAATAGTTTGCTTTAACTACTGAAAGGCAAGGACAATTGTGTAGGTATTTGAAAGCATATATGACTGAGAAGAGTGCCAGTGAGGCAGTCTTACGTGTGGTGGGCAGAGAGGAGGGCAGTGGACTCAGCCATAGACAGGGAGGATGACTGCAGCCCCACTAATGTATCCTTAGGTTAAGGAAACATACAGCTTCCTCCAACTAAACAGAAATAATTCTCAGATTTTGATCTTCCTCCTTAAGTTGTCACAACTCTAAATAAACAAATGGTTAAATTGCCCTAAAATGGTTTCAGAAAGATTCAAAAGCATTGTCAAATTACTTTGACTTTGAGCTTATATATTTTAAGTCTATATACTTAAGTCTGTGTATTTAAGTCTATAAACTTTGCTAATATTATTTGCAATGACTT